ATAGTGCGAGCTAATAGTAGGAATAAAAGATCAATGATTCATCGCATTTCAAAACACTGCGTATTAAGAGGTATATGGCATACACAAAGATGGCGGATACATGGCAAGATACACACACTCTCCAAGCTTAAAAGCCTGCCCCCAATGACAATGGTGTGTAAGCATTGTAAGAAGTCATCGTTGTTGCTGTTATGGACGTTGACAGAAGTCAGTGGTGTACACAAGTATGGTGTTTAGGGTAACCAACCAACCCTTTAACTAACAGATTTGTTTTTTATTTTTGGCATAGAGTTTTCACACATCTCAGCGCTTTCGTAAAAGAAGTCTGCATACGCCACCGACGGAAACTTGCTATTCAGCATCTGGATGGAGCTTCATTACCGATCGGATGTGAACTGGATGATCAACGGCGGACACGCTAAACATTTATGGTATGTAGCAGAAACTTGGTGTGTATATGATCTCTTAATGTATTCCCCATTTTTTGTGATTAAAACCTCGAAAAATGAACAATCATTTAAAAACCACAAAAAATCCTTTGGGGCTATCTTTTTTTATACTATGCCAATGAAAATTTATTTTCAATGCTTTATATGTTTGAACTATTTTTTTTAAATATAGCCCCTTGGTAGCTGAAACTTCCTTTGTAAAACTTTGACTGTACAATTAAATATGATGTGGTTTCATGGTCGTAAAATGGTGTGCCAGTACAGTTGCCAAACATTTATAATCTGATCGTGGGTTTCCGTTTTCCTACTTGTTTTTCAACTTGAATCGTTTCAACAAAGCGACACACACACACACACACAATAAAATTTTTACAACATAAACGAAATTGCACTTTAATTTTATTATTTTTATTTTAGTCAGTTTTATTCATTACAAGACTCTCAATATTGTGTTTATTGCTTCTATATCTATAATTTGTTACGAATATTCTCAATCTTAGTCACATATAGGATTTAAAAAATTTAAAATATTTTGTAAAATGTAATAAATGTACGTAGGAAAGGATTTTATTTAAACGTAAAAATAACAATAAATTAATATTAACAATATTTGTTACAAAAAGAACGAAAATAAAAATTCAATTCCCCAAACAAAATAACGTTAAATAGAATTACATATACTAAACAAAAAAATTACATTTATTTAAATATTTATTGTGGGTTACATTTTAAATTTTGTTTGGGGTTGGTTTTTTCCTTTTCGGGAAAATTAAATACATGAAATACAAAAAAAAAGATAGATAGATGTATGTAAAGTAAACTTTCATTGCATAAAATTGCTTGCAATTTTTTCAACATATATAGATGTATCTTCATGCCCAAAGGGTTTTTTTAATCTTCAGATTTTTTTATAACATCTCTTGTAAATCTCTTGTAAGAAAAATGATTTTTTCAGTATTGTAACGTACAAATAAATTAAAGAAAGTTTTTTATTATATGCGTTTTTTTTTTCAGAATAACGAAAGTATAAGCTTGAAGGGAAAACCAGGATTGAGAGCAACGTGGGTAAGGATGAAATGGATGACTTTACAATGCATGTTATAAATCTGTATAACCAAGGTCAGTTTTGATACTTTTAAATCGTAAAGATGTACTGTCAGTGTCATATAAAATAGCATATTTTATTTATCAATAAAGTGGACTTCATTGTTAATGTTATCAAGATATTTCTTTCTGTAAATCACGTGATTCATTTGCATATAATATATATCTTTTTCTATCAACATTAAACAGATATTATTCGAACAATAAATTTGATTTTTAAATGTATTCCTATCCACACATTATCACATAAATAAATACAGTCAAAAAAACTAAAATTAAAAAAAATTTAAAACCCTTGTTAAAAAAAATTTTTTTTACTTTTATTAAATAGTTACAATTAATATAAATATGTTTTATTTCAAAAACAGAATAACAACATTAAGTGGTTTTATATAATTATTTTTTTAAATTTAAATTTTAATGAAATTTTGTATTCCCTCCAAAAACCCTGTATATAAAAAAATTTTAGCTCAATTGAGGTTTTAAAAAGTATTTTTTATTAACGATTGAAAATTCCACCGAAATTAATAAGTAAGTAAATAAATAAACAAACAAACAAATAAAAATATAGAGATTGTGAGCTAATAGTAGGAATTGAATAAATACAGTAAAAAAAATAAGGAAAGTTTTTAATGCTTCAATAAATAAGTCTTTTGAGAATGTAAGCAACAGTTGGCATTCAATTCGCGGGTCACCAATATATTTGATAAGGGTAAAATAAAGCCTTTAAATAATAATTTTAAAATGTCTGCAACTTTCGTTAAATTTGTTATATTTTATTTTACGTCACACTTTCTGGAGAAACACGAGGTCTGTTAACTATGGACCTCGTAGTTTTTATACCCTGTCAAGAACATCTGAAATGTGGTGTCTCCCACTCCAAATTTCTAGATCATAAATCGAGAGGACTTTGAGCCGGAAGTTTTTTAAGGGGGAGTTGGAAACCTCTCTCTCTTATACGAAAATTTTAAATTTTGTTTCCCCGATGCCCTTTTTTCTCAAAAATCTGTTATATGTAAGTTGAATTTTTTTCATAAAATTAAAGTACACCTTTCTCATTATCCGTGACCCTTTGTTTTTTTGAATTTTTTTTCATACTTTATGAAAAAATTTATCAAACATTGAGAAATTTGACTCATTTTTCACATAAAAAGATTTGTAAAAAATAAATGTTAGAATTTTTTTTATAAAAAGCTCATTTCAGTATAGATTAGACATCAGTATAAATATATCTAAAAAATATTAAAACCAAAAAAGTAGTTTTCAGAAAAGGGAACGAAATCAAAATTTTACTTTTGAGATTAATTGATTTTTTCTGAGGAGACTTTTAATCAACAGGGGAAAAACAAAAATGAAAGGTTCAATTTACAGTAAAAAGGATACATGTTTTGGTTTTTATCAGACGTTCAACTTTAACAAAAAAGGTTTTTGTTTTTATTTTTCGTATTCAAATGGGCGGGGCCCCTGTTTCAACGATTATTTTAAAATAGGGTTTTAAAGGGGTTTAATTACCCAGAGGTTGAATATTTTTTGGGAAAGGGTTAAAAAACAAGGGAATTTAAAAATGTAAAAAACTCAATTTGCAAAAAAATAAGATTTTAGAGAGAGAGAGCTTTCCAACACCCCCTTTACAGCATCAAACCCTTTTCTTAGGTACTTCGGGACACTAGGGCATGAGCCCCTGACCTGACTTCAGCAGCTCCCCAAATTCTTTGTACTCTGAAAAGTTAAACTCTGCTGCCTGACGTACATTTTCTGATGGCTGAATATAGTTCTGGTGATTTGAAGCCTTGTTGGTGATTGTTCCACATTTAAATATAAGAACAATGTTTTGTTTACGTAACTAAGCTTTTGTGTATATAAGTTAGTCAATACATCGTATCATACTTTTGTGTTAAAAAAAAAAAGGAAGAAACATTTTTTTAAAAAAATTCAATCTTTTAAAACTTTTTAAATAAAAAAAATAAATAATACTAAGATTATAGATAAGGTTTAAAGAGTATGATACATTTTATAATTCTATAAAGTTTTATACATAAAAGGTTACTATTTCGGAAAATATCGTGCGCAACGTAAAATTTACTTAATATTTCTTGCAAAAATGTTCCTTATTTTCAAATGTTTATAATTTTTAAAATTATGATTATATTTTAAACATTTTACACTTTTTTTTTTGAAACCTCATATTTTAATAAATAATATGTAAAATAACAGAATTAATTAATTTTAATCTCAAAGATTTATATCTATTCGAAAAATGTTTATATTTTCAGCTCTCGAGTCGTAACTGACACCCCAGTTGACGAAAAAGAACAGAAGAGAAAAACATTAATCTCATTTTATAAATTTCAAAATACATACATATATATATACAAAAAATGAAATAAAACATTATTACAGTCATCTGCGAAGAACAATGTATTTTCAATTCTTAAAAATTCAAATTTCATCCAACAGCTGCTACTGTCCATAGATAATAGAAAATAGCCTTCAATTTGAACGTATTTCGCTTAACTTTCGATCTCCAACCTTCACCTTATAACAATTGAAGTTTTGATTATATTGTTTGACGCGTTTGGAAAGATGTGGCTCAAATTACGAGTATAATAAATGGGTGTATCCAATACTTATATAAAAAAGGGACACTTCTCCAGTTGAATGTTTATTCATCGGGAATTTTATTTTCATCGTACTTTTTGAGCAGCAAATTACATATCATGTGATTATTACGGAGCTGAAGTTGCATCCTTTATGTCCTGTTATTAAAAAATGTAGATGAGCATTGTGTACAATAATGGAGGCGATAGAAGAATAAAAATAAGGTTACATTCAATCTTCCCATGAGCTATTCATTGGGTGTTAGTCACGATTGAACTATCTATAGGATGACGAAACTTAGAGGTTATGAACTGAGAAGTAAGTGGACTTGTTTCGAACAACGTATTTTTCTAGAAATTCTGGCGACAAGCAAGACTGATTGTTCTCATGCCACAATTGTGTACCTTTGGAAACATACAATTAGGAATAAAGTAGACAAAATAAAGAAAAAGCGTTTAAAAATGGATTAATTACCTATTTCGTGCAAACAGGCTCAATTGTTTTATAAGTAATTGATCAATTATAAGTCTTTTTAAAAGAGAAATGGTGAATTAACAAGTAATAAAAAAAAAATTAAGTCAATTCCTACTTAGATCAACAAAGAAAAATTTTATATTTTAGTATTTTTTATTAAATAGTTACAATTAATATAAATATGTATATATATATGACAGAATCACAATATTAAGTGACAAAATAGAAAGCGATTTTCCTTGCAATTTTCCCATTTCCTCTCTATATATGGTGTTCGACTATTTCCTGTTCGTTACTATTTATTCATTAATTAAATTTAATTATTCTAATAAAATAGTATAGTAAAACAGAAAGCACATTCTCAAAAAGTTGCCCTCCCCCTTGTGAAATTCGAATCCACGATCTTTGGATTAGAAGTCCAACGCGCTGTCTTTTGTGCTACCGGGACACAACGAACGATTTTCCTTTCTATATATGTTGTTGTTGGACTATTATTTTTGTTTGTTACTATTTATTCATTTTTTAAAATTTTAATTAATGAATTAATAATTGAAAAAACTGTATTAACATCAAGTATCATTAAAAAATGTATTTGAAGTTGAATTTGTATTATATATATATATATATATATATATATATATATATGGAGAGAGTGAACTAATGGCAGGATTTGAAAAAAAAAATCATTTAAGGTGGCTAAATACCTTCGGAAGCGTAATTTTAAAAAGGTATAAATGGATATTTTTTTTATATATTCAGTGTCTGTTATATAAGAATACCATATAAAATTGTTTTATAGGAATATTATTACTGAAAAAAAATTATTTAAATGCAACTTTTTAGCAAAAGTGGAAGAAGGAATGACATGTTTTCAAAACATTCCCTTTTTATGAAGTTGCTTATGTAACAATTATAATTTGCCTATATATAGCTAGGACTACTATACCGGAGATGAAATAGGATTTTTGAAACGGACAATTTAGACGTGGATTTATGAATATTTTAATGTATCATAGTAGAAAAAATGTAACTAAACTACCTTTATTATTTCAATTGATCGTAACTCTGAAAAAATAATGTGGACTTTTCCAAAATCTTCTAGTTCAGCTTCCGTGTAGAAGTCCTAGCTATATTTAGGCAAATCTTATATTATAAGCGTTTTTCATAAAAAGAGAATATGTACATTCTTTCTTACATTTTTTGCAAACAAATTGCATTTAAATAATGTTTTTATCTTGTAATAATATTCTTAAAATTTTATATGCATATTTTAATTCAGTTGACACTAAACATCAGAAATTTATTCATTTATACGTTTTTTCAAAATCACGGTTCCAAACGCGGACGATTCTTTAATGTGTTAAAGTTATTATTTTAAAATATCTCAACTATTAGTGCTATTTATTTCTCGTTTTTTATCTCGTAGAATTGAATAAGTATATTCAAGTATATCCTTCAAGTATATTCATTTGAAATTTGAAGTCATTCTGACCAGTGGTTCTTTTTTACAGCATTTTGAAAGTTGGAACTTGATAATAATCACTCTGTGCATAATAAAGTATGACAAATATAAAATGATAAAATCAGCGTGCTATTATTGTTTATTTGCAATTATTTATTTGAAAGACATATCTAATTTTTTGTTGTCTGTTATAAAAGAAAAGTAATTGTTAATTCATTTATGTTATTTTCCTTTTTATCTTCATTCTAACATTTAGCTCTTAATTTTCACTGAGATGCAATTTAAATTTTTCTTATTAGACCTGACTTTTTAACAGAATTGTAGGATTCTAAAAAATAAAAATAAAAAAATCAATTCAATTCGTTATTGTTCATGAAATTAAAAAATATATTATCACTGATGATTTTTTTAATTGAAGTATTTTAAGAAGCCATTAATTCAATAGGAATGAATATAATAAATTTCCAAAAATATACAGAAATAAGAGAAGTTGATAGTATAAGAAAATCCGTTTAAAAAGTGCATTTCCAATATATATAACACATCATGGGTGTTCTGTTTCAAGACTTTTTATCATCTTTTTATCTGAACTATTCTAAAGTAAAAACAAACATCCGACCAATTTCATGAATGTTGTACATTATTTTTGTCATTTTTGATGTCAAAATGAAGCATTTGATTGATCAATGGGGAGCATTTTCTGAATATATAATAGAACTGGGCGTAACATCAAGGCGTGAACACAAATTCCTATTGTTTGCTTAGCGTGGTTCTTGATTTTGTATATTAAATTTTATTATTTCTTCCGAGAAAAGTATAACTTATATAATCGAATTATATTTATCTAATTTTTTGTGTAGTATACTAACAAAAACTAGTACTAAGGCTAGCATATATATCATTTTAAGACAAGGAAATTTGTTACGATTTCAAACATAAAATTTATCAAATCAGATATAAATTTAAAATTCTGAATGATGACTGATGATTTAGGGGGAAAGAGTACAGAGGAAGTAGAAATGGAAAAAAATTGTAGTATCTCAGTCTAATATATTCTAAAGGGGAGCTCAATTTCTTTTTATTATAAATGCATTATTTTGTAAAAAGTGCTCACCATGAAGCATTTGTTTGCCTAAATATGTGAAGGAAGGAATAATTCGATCTGAGCACCTTCCGTTCCGTACGCGAGTACTTTATCGACCGCGCCAAAACGATCGTCTTCGCGTGATGTTTGGTACTAGTTTATATAGATATCACACCGCCACATACCCCCATGCCAATGATTCGGTGAATAGACGAACGAACGATACCATATTCGTGGCGAGCATGTGAGCATTTGCGTCACTTTGTGGGTTGCATCATCGTGCGTGATGGCTTAAGAATTGCGTCATTTGTGTGAGACGGCTTTGCTGAGTGACGGCTTATTTGCGTCAATGTTTGACGGCATGGTTGCTTTTTGTGGTGGATAGATGGTGCCACAACTGTGGCGCGTGAAGGGTGTGGTTCTTTTGTATGGCCAGGGTCACCAATGAAGGAAGGAAGAATTCGATCTGAGCACCTTCCGTTCCGTACGCGAGTACTTTATCAGCCACGCCAAAACGATCGCCTTCGCGTGATGTTTGGTACTAGTTCATATAGACATCACACCGCCACATATGTATAAATAATGATACAAGTGTGATTACGAGACTGTAAAGGGCTAGGCAAGTTACTACAATTTACTGTTGTGATGACTATGTATTGGAATTCTATGTATTCCTCAATTCTTGATCTGGAGTTTCATTTTGTTGTTCCTGAATATATAGGAACCTACAATATTCTAAATAAACTTAGTCTACAAATGATCAGCTAATTTTGGAGATTAACAACGAATCTAAATGGTAGGAAGGCCATTCAGAAATATACAATTCGTGTCTTTGTCTTTCAAAGCCTCTAGTTCATCCATCTTCAAATACTTTTAGAAATCATTGATACTCCTCTGCATAACTCTTTCGTGTAAAGCTGATAATCTATTGCTCAATATGACCAACATACATTTTTACCTTATTTGTGAATCTGTTCAGAGTCGTGCAGTTGTCTTTAATTGAGCTTGTAAGTCTTCCGGATGAAAAAGAAAGTAGCTCATAAATTGCGTGTAAGTATCTTGACAAATACTCTCGTCAGTAAATAGAAATCATATTTTGAGAGACAAGAAGCAAAGCAAAATACGGGGAGTAAATAATAGCCCACGTGAGAATATATTATTCAAGTCGATACTTTACTTACTTGATATGTTAATAAAATTAAATTATTTAAAATATGGCTTATTAGCATTTATTATAATTATTTAAAAGGACTTTAGTTTTTTAAGTGAGGATTAAGCGACATCAGGTTTTGTGCAATCCTGATAAATGATTGTTTACTGTACTTGTAATGACACTAATAACACTGCATTTAAAAACTATAATGTTGAGCACAATTGTCAGACCATTCTGAGATGCTAGCCAGGAAATAAAAAATATTAAATGACTGAATATTAGCTGTTATTTATTGATCATGAAAGCATTATTACTGCAAAACTCGGATAAATTAATTTGTATAGGGAATTCCGTCAGACTCTAAATTCTTAATGATTGGGTTGTTTTTGTAATTCATTCAGTACATTGCTTAAATAACAGAGGTGAATTTAGTTTAAATACAACAAATACTTCTGGGATTCTCTAAGTTTTTTTGTCACAGTAAAGGTATTTAAATTATTTGCGAGGAACAATTACACCCAATATTATTTTTTTTCCTTATTAAAAATAATTCCACGAGTGCTTGAATTTATACCTTAAAACTGATAAAAAAATGTTCAATTTAAGTTTTCTTTTCAAAATTTGTTAGTTAATGGTAGCATAATAAAATTGCCTTGTTATAAAGCATTTGTTATTAAAGTGAAATTTTCTGCAAACATTAATCTGAGATTTTTTTTCCTAACATATATATAATAAGGCTGTTTTCGGCTAACGATAAAGAATAGAACCCAAATTCGGAATATTTTTTCAGATGTAAAAATACTCAAAGGTTAATATTATATTCTGGCCTCACTGTCCTGTAGCGAATCACTTATTTTATCATACTACTCATACTTATCCGAGTGATGAAGCATTTTTCTTTTATAAAATGTATTTCGCATTTTTTCTCCTATATTGTAATGCTAAATGAGCTATTTCTTTACATGTTAAAAGGAAAAAGGTATTATTTATGAAATATTTTGAAAATTTAAAAACGCTATATTATAAATATCAAAATTGAGGCATTTTTTTTCTGTTCGAAAATGTGCTCCACGTTAAGTTCACACTCTTGTGCATACGGTGAAAACAGCCTTAAACATTTCCTCATTATCAAAAGAATATATATGGTCACAATTACTGTAACTATTTGTTCAAGTAACTTATATATTTTAAAGGATAAAAATCTAATCGAAAACAAAATAAAAACAGCTTAGAAATTATTATTAGAACATAAAATAATGAAAGATGTTTTCTTTTTTTTCTGAATATTATTTTTACTACAAGGACATTATATGTGATGTTCATTAAAGAAAGCCCTGATTTTTTTCCGCGAATCTAAATAAATTTCCAGCAATCATAATTTTAATCAAAATAATATGGACGAAAAGGGACATGATTTTATTAAAAATAAGAACAATGTTTAATCAGAAATACCACAGAGTAATTTTCAATTTTTTTTCCAAATTTTTTTCAAATTTTTTGCAAATATAAAAAAATCCCTAGAGTTTCCTTTTTTCTTGTGTTTTTTTAAAACCCATACTTTAACTACTTTTCTTTAAGAAACAGGATTCGAAAGAATGCTTTTTAACGATTAATGAGTCAAACTGTCAGCATTCGACGTCGTTTTTTCTTTTTTTTTTTTAAAGCGCATTGTGTTTATCTTTTTCCCATTATAAGGGAAGGTCACCGATATAAAAAGTAATATATTAGGAGGTCACCAGTTGCGTGT